AAAGTGTACAGCAAGGTCAATCACATATCGTTCACAAAAAGCCGTGACATAAATAGAAGAAAACGTCAATGTAATCAAGAGAACCTAGAGAAGCTCAATGTGACGGTCTCTCAGAAGGACTTCAGTGTGTTCGACAATCCCAATCCTTCCATCTACTGTGATCACCTTACACATTATCTAAACTTGTGCTACGATATGTGCTGCCCCTGGGAGACGCTATACCTTCGGTGTGACCGCATCTCGTCTCCCCATCTGAAGCATTTCCGTCGAAGCAAGGAAAGGGCATACAAAAGCAAAGATCCTCAAAGAGTGAAACTGTTATATCTTACCATCAAAGGTGAGCTACATCGACTGAACGGCGTTTACACTCGTACACTCCTACACAACAAAACCTGGGACACCATCAAGCAACTGAGTGGTCAATCCTCAATCTTGTCTCGAGCAGCAATAGACGTCGAATAATTAAATAGAATATTCAACAAAAGTACCAACAATACGGGGACGGGGCCAATCATCACCAGCGCAAACATCGACCCCAGAAATAAAGAATCATTTACTATTCGACAACAAGATGTTCTGAAAGAGTTACTGACACTCAAACCCAATAAATCACCCGGTCCCGATAGGTTGGAGGCTACCATCCTTAAGGAGTGCGCTCACACACTTTCGCCAGTGCTCACAGCTATGTTTAACCAGTGCTTGGAAAACGGAATTATACCGGACTGTTGGAAAGCTGCCTCCATCACTCCAGTGCCTAAAAGAGACACCTCGAAATTCCGTCCCATTGCATGTACGTCTGTTGTGTTGAAGCTTTCCGAGAAGTTACTCCTTCAAGGAATGTCATCTCAGCTGAATGTGCAGGACCAAAACCAATTTGCGTACTGTCGCTCTCGCTCCACACTTGATGCCCTAGCTTCTCTGATTCACTGCATTCCGTCAGCACTTGATGGAAATAAGAAGGCTGTCAGAATTTGTTTCTTGGATTACAGTGACGCTTTCAATTGTGTTGACAGTTCTATGCTGTTGAATCTTTTGTCTTTAAACGGAATATCGCAAACCATTACTGCAGTACTCACTAACTATTTCATAAATCGACCACAGTTCACACGTTACCTTGGTCGTTCCTCTTCCTTACTTTCTACATTAGGCGTATTACAGGGTGCCGTTCTATCCCCGTTTTTCTGTTCCACTTATATTTCATCCATGCCTACTTTACAAAATTCCCTGCTCATTAAATATGCGGACGATGTTGCGGTTGGAATCGCCCACCTTGATGCATCTGTCACCCTCACCATCCGACTTGGCCTTACTAACCTTACTGAGTAGTCCGCTGAGCATAACCTGACTCTCAATCCCTCTAAATGCGTAGACATGCTGCCCCCATTTCACGGAGGGAATCGTTATGCCAATCTCCTGGAATCCTACCCCACGTTAAACATATACGATGATACAAGTGTCCAATCCCCAAATGTCAAGTATCTTGGTGTGTTAATTAACCGAAACGTATGCTGGTCTGATCAAGTTGTTTCTGTATTTGGAAAGGTCAGAAAACTATCATTTTTTATCTTACGACTGAAAACACTACCCGTCCCTCGCTTCTTGGTTGAACGTTTTTTTTGCCTGTGTTTTACCCCTATGGTTGTATGGGTCCCCAGTAATCTTTCCAGGGATGCTCTAAAAGGACTTTAAATTGCTTTCCAGATCATTAACACAATTATCAAGAAGTAGCGGGATTTCCCGTGCAACTCTCTGTCACTTCATCATTTCCCAACATACAAAGTCATGCTTCTCGTTATCAACAAAAATCATAGATAACCGTTCACATCCGTCACATCAAGATCTTATCAAGTGTGTATCGTCCTCTTCCACCCGGTCCCGCTATATTTGTTTATTTGCTCGTACAACCGCTTATCGGTCCTCTGTGGTGCCCTACCTTGCCCAATTTCTTGTCAGCCCAGAACGCATTGCTTCGGAACTTAACTCAGTCGTCTCGTAAATTGTTTTCTTTTTCATTGCTTACGACAATTTTGTTCGATAATTGTTGTTTGACTATGTGACTGCTGAATATCCACCTTTCGGGGTGCATAAAGCAAATACTTGACTTGACTGTAGTACATCCATCAAAGTAGTTTAAAACCACACACACACCAGAAACCTTTAATTTAGTACCATATTCGCATCTAATGTAGAACGCAGTGCTGATAGGGGCATGTGCAAGGGCAGAGATCTGATTTGTCCACAACATGAGGTTTGTTAAAGTTACTTCAATGAGTCTATTCCGTTCAAATGGATGGCTTTTTGAATTTTCCTCAAGAGGCTGTCGGAATCACAGAACCGTTTCTCCACAACTCATTTTTCATACGCGTTAGAGGAGTGATAAGCCACGGTGCACTTCTCTTTCTCAACTGAAAGCCGTTTTAGGTACCTCTACAGTTTTTAGTCGCAGGTACTCTGGCAACTCGGAACAATTACTGAGCTACTCCAGCTCTCAACTTCAATGTAACTGAATTATTTATTGGAAAAATAAATATTTTGCAACTTCAGAAGCTATTTCTCATCTGGTGGACGCATCTCGGATTAAGTTCCGAAAGCTGTATGACACAGATATTTGGCTATTACTTTTACGCGATATCGCACTAGTGTGGTGGGGCAACCGGAAAAGCAGTGCTGAGGTTAGGAGCAGTTTTAAGTAACCGTGATCGTCCACTTAATGTTGACAGCAGAGCTTGGGGCATGTTACGCATGTCACCAAATAGATTGCCACGGTTCGCGGTGTTTGCTGGAGCAGGCAATGGGTGCTATGCCAGTATGAAAATCCCGAACGGTAGGTGGTGACGTCACCAAAGTATCGCCCCGGAGGATGTGTCCAAATCCCACCACCAACGCCTGGCGTTCCCCATGGTGTGTTGCATGGCGGCCCTTTGATTGACCGCTTTCCTCATTCCTGAAAATTCCATCATTATGTAATCAATAAAAGGAAGTAAGAATTAAAAAGAAAAGATCAAGAGACTTGTTCATATAGGTCGGGCAAAGTTTCCAAGAGGATATCTCGGGATCAGCGTAACTGAGAGGGCATCTACTCAATGTCCTTGTAATCTTAGTCTTCATTGATTCTCTACTTTCATTTTGACACCGGTTTCAACATCTCAATATCCCCCCTCACATACTTCTTAATTCAATAACCATAATACCCGTACGAAAGTGCAATTGTTGTTTAAACTACATTCTGACGTGTCGCAGGAACTACTTAACGCGGTCTCCAAATATTTCCGGAGTTTCTGCACAGCCTATTGAATAAACAAATCAGAAAGCTGTATGGTAATATCCAACTTCCCTAGATATGCGTATATGAACATTACGGCGGTAAACTCTCTGTGACGACTGTATTATAAATAGTAACCAGGACGAAAAAAAGACGGAAACCTAACTGTCGGTATTTGACCCCTATTGTAATCTCCATAGAAAGAATATCGTGCAGTTAGCCACTCCGAGTTCAATTAAGTGAGTGTCGCCGATGGCAAACGTCAAATGAGATGGATGGCGATTAAGGTAATTAGCGCTCAGCAGCGTATGCCACCACACTCCATTTTACCCCCGCCTGATTTAATATAGCTATTGCCGAGGCCGCTGACTGTCAGGCATGCTTGAGACAATCCAAAAACCATAAGTATCAACTTCGGAGTGAAAAAGGTGCTCATCTCAGTTAGTATTATTTACGACCTTGTTCTAAGTAACTACATAACGATTGAAAACGTTGAGTGGCACCCCATAGATGATGGACCAAATAGTTCCATCTGTGTGTCCCTTCACGATATACGAGAACCCGGCATAATTATAAGCAAGTTCAACTCGTTTCGTTCTTGCTTTCACAGCCCCTTGGAACCAATTTACCTGCATGCAATGGGTACCACCTTCTCACCTGTATATGCTCAATCTACACGGCTATTTGCTACACGTCGGGCTCGCGAAGCCGTCATATTCACAAACCACGCGAATTCAACGACAGCAGTATCAGTCGATTCGCCTGCATCGGGAGCCCCGTTCTACCGGAATCATGCCCCATCTGCTCATTCACTCCGTTCATGGTGAACCGCGACAAGTCTACACACTCGGTCCAGGTTATTTCCATCCACTGCGCCAATTTCTAACCACACATTCCCAGACCAATGTAAATCACTGTATCTCACCACATCTAATACAAGTGTTCCTCGACGAGCACCTATTTCGTACAGTATAGAAGCACTGGGTTAGTTTCTAACTCCTCCCCCCCCCCATTTGACTTCAATTTACCCGAATCCTTTGCTACCTGGGCGTCGTGCGGGAACGTTGCCCGCGTGATTTTTATCCTGCTGTCCAACCCACCCACCAGCATCTCAGAGCGAGTTATTTTGTTTATTTTGCTTCTGTTTTCTTATCCACTCACGTGTACAACCTCAGCCCCCGGAAATCACGTGCTCAATTTGTTTTGCTCTTCTTGATATTTCTATTTTGAAGCCGTCCGAACTGAGTGAATCTCGACCAATGTCTTCCCTTTTCATCTATCTAAAATAAACTTCCCGGTCTGAATAGATCCATGTATGGTTCGATTTCCACTCCGGAGAGAGACAGTTGTAAATCGTGAGATCGAAATTATTCCTAGTGCTTTCTAGCGTATCCAATGTCACCGTAGTTGATGAGTTGAACACAATGGAGATAGGTGATTCGGCACATCACCGTTTATTCAAGTTTACACAAACCTGATAACTAGCCCGACTGGGAACAGAATCACACACTATCCGAAAAAATAGCACACAGCTCATCTGGCAAGTTATAATCATACAACACTGACGATGATCTGTACACAAATAAATCGGATTCAAATAAGATACAGCTCGGGGCAATAAAGCCAAGGGGAGAAGGACAGTGAGTGAATGAACAGAGGAAATAATCTGTCAATGAAAGGAAACATGGGTGCATGAAAGACGTTATACATATACATGGCGGAGATGAGAGCAGACGGATTACATTAGCCACTCAATAAGACGACGCTGGACGGGACCAGTCAGATGTGCTTCCAGGTACCCGCAGAGAGAGCACATGGGTTCCTGAGGACAGAGACACACATGTGGAACGGACACAGTTCCCATCAGATCAGGTGATCGTGTATGACAAGCTTGTAGTACCAATGTGGCGGCACGTTTTAGACACAAGTCAAACAAAGAACGCGGCTCGAGCAAGTCGTAGAATTCGACTGGACGTTGCATTGCTTCTGTGGTTGCTCCACCAATCACGTAGAACATCCCATCGAGTCGGTGGTGAGTTACTGAGTGCCAGAATCGGGCAACTGGGGCCAGAGGTTCGAACACTTCGGTCTCTGGAATCGGTATGGATGGAAATGGATCATCTACTGTGCGTTTCAATGGACTCGCTGAGTACCAGAGAAACGTTGACGGGATGGTATGTCGAATGTGATATGAGAGCTGATCGTTTGAATTTAACGAATTCGCACGGTAGGGGGCAGGAATTCGAACTTTTTCCAATGGCAGAAGAAATGCAAATTTGTCCAAAATTTCTTGATTTGAAAGAATTAAATGAAACGTCGTGGCTGACTGCCCGGCATGGAACGAGCTAAGTTGATCCAGTAACTTCGTCTGGGCTGATCGGGGAAGCCACGCGTCGGTCTCTCGAAGTAACATGCACAGTGATTCCCAAGGCAGCATGAACTTTGCGAGAATACAGAGTAGTAGCGATACTATCTGGATCGAAGGCCGTAGGGTCAGGAGCAGACTAGTACAATCCCCGGTGAGCTCCGCCGCCAGACGAGCGTAGTCTGCCTTAGTGAGTTTTCCGCCATCGGTCGGAATACAAGGCTGATACAGCATGAGCTGAGTGATAAGGAACAGGATGAAATCTGTGTGCAGTTTAGCAATCTGATAGAACGGTTTGTTCGGTTTAACCTGGTTGGTCGAATGACGCACACCCTGTTTCGGATCGAATGTGGCTTTGGCGTAGATTTGCATATGGTAGGTCAAATCCTCTTCCACAAACGGATCGGATGGGAGCAGCGGATGATGACTAGATTCACTAATACTATAATGCGAACCATTCCGATGTACTGTCAACAGGGAATCTAATTTCGCATGGATGTCTGGTGCAACGCATCGAAATCCGTTTACAAGGGTGACACGGGGCCGATGAGCTGCGTATACGGGGATAGGTTGTTCTTCTGCAGATGGTTCAGCCCGAGAGGAGGCGACTGGTTGGGCTTCAAGACCATGCGCAGGGCACCGACTTACACGAATTAGCCATGCGTCTGACAAGGCCTGATTCGCGTTGGAAAATCCGCCAACCACACACAGATTGCATAAGGGCTGGCAACTGTCTGTGGTCAAGGTTGAAGGTTTCATCAAACAGCGCTGGGGAAACGAAGAGTAATCCTTCTCGAGAGACGCAAGATCGAACCCCATCCACGATCGGCCGGATGGCCACAAAAACGGTCCTGTCGGTTCTAGATTGAGTTGTGGTTTATCTAACGGGGTGAGAATACGGGTCCACTCTAATAAGGCCAAATTCAAACAATACAGGTCATTTAACCGTCCTGATTCGTACAGCTCGGATCGGCGGAATTCAGCTCGATTCGGATCATTCGATCCGGACTGTACCGGTGGCCCCCGACCGCCAAAAATCAACATCCAACCTCTCGGCTCATCCAAAGCAGACTGATGAGCAGCACGGGCATTCGGTGCGTGTGCTCCGCGCATTTCCGAGCGACTTATCACAGACCACGATCTCTGGTGCACATCGAACACAAGCAACTGACTATTCCAGCCCCGATCTAATTCACAGGGGAACCATTCACGAGTGCTCGTCGGATCATACAAGAATGGCCAACGAATCCAACGGGAAGGCCAGTGGGCATGAGGCGAGAACCGGGGCCCGTAACCGCCGAACGCGAACAACCGTCCGCGCCAGTATTCCATGCACAATTTGTCACGAGGTGAAGGTTCACAATGAAGCTGAGCGTTCGCGTGATTCGCTCGCCACATGAGCACTCGATTCCAGCGACGCTGAACAGCACGTAAAGCAGTCAAACAGAACGCTTCGGTGATCAGAGTGCGTGGGGGTAGGGAGAGCAAAAAACTGAGCAAACCATGACCACCGACTACTTCGGCGTGACAGCACATTGCATGGGGATCGGATTGCGTGGTCGACAGGATGTTTTGATTGGAACGAGGCAGTCGGTAGCGAATTAGAGCGTTTGTGTGAAAACGTTCCCACAAAGAAAATCCAGCAAACGTGTAGATGTAAGCCGGTTCGAGTTTCGATTCCGGTTGAACTGCCATTGCCATGCCTGAAGTGTTTAACAATGGCAGACTGAATCCTCGACGCTGTGCGGACGCGTAATCCCAGTGCACTGGGAGAAAACAAGTCGACCCGGTTAATGGATCGTATCGAGTCAAGCCCGCACGTTCGTACATACAAGCCTAGACGTAATAATGCAGGGATCAAAGTATAAACGCATGTTAAAGGATGTCTGAAGATCCTAAATGCATCTGTATAAGGTCATTCAAATTCAAAACGGTATAAACAACAGTTAAAAAAAACTACTGATGTGTTTGTATGGTGGGCTAGACACTTCGGGTTGCGGTTGTGGTCAGGCTCTTTAGGTTACCAACTTATCACCCGGGAGGTCGTGCACTCGAGCTTCATCACCGACCAACTTTCTCTGTCGTATAACATACATTTGAGTGGTCACTAATTTCCTCAAAATCGTTCTTATCATCGTGTATTAAAGGACGGAAAGTAACAGAGCCAAATCAAGTTACAGAAAAATCAAGCAAGCTTTGGGAAGGCGATTTTTTGTGTCTATCATTCGTTATGCGTGGTGCAGTGGGAAATTACGGTCTGTGTGAGTTTCGAACAGTAGGATTTCTTAACAAACTATCAGGTGAGACGAGTCAGTGTTCCCAAACAGATACACGCAAAATTATAGGAGGGGGGTGGGTGGTGGTGGCAGGGTTTAGAACTCAAACTACCTGTTTGTCTGCATGTGTGCGTATATGACTTGTATTTGCATTTGCATTGCTACTTGATGCGAACAAGACAGTGCACCAGCAGGAATTCAATACAGGGAGTTTTCACGTGGTGCTATCATGGTCCGTACTAATAATAAAAATGATACCAATGCTAACAATGCTCCTATACACGAGATTGGTGAAAAGTGCTTAGGCGACTAAACTGAATTCAGTAATAATTGTCACTTCACACACAATAAGACATTCAGATTAGCAGTCCTAAACCGGTTGGAACCTTCTTCCTCTTGAATATGGATCGTGTATTTTGTTGTAGATTGTGCGAACGAAAATGAACGCTATTTATACATTCATCGGTGTATGTCAAAGAGCATCAGAAAAAGTGATATCATACCACATCTATTAGGGGGAACATTACAGGCTGGTTTCAACAAATAACGGTGATCTGGGACAACCTGAAATTGGAAATGAACCAGAGCAGCATGTAAAAATTTGACTGATTTTGTCTTATTAAAAAAGTATTCATTCTGTCTTCAATTCGATCAATACCAAGCACAGACAGTCTCGAATCCGAAAAAAGAAAACTGGCATAATAAAATACTAAATTTAGTAAAGATGCCGTATTTTCTAGAGAGTATCGGGTTATTTGAATGCTTGATGATAGAACGCCTCAGGGAGTTATATAATCACCGATTTACAATAGCATCGCCACCAAACAAGATGATCCATAAGTCCGAATTTGACGTGCAGCGTGATATTTTTATGGTCACCACTGCTTGTGGTCCTGGAACTCTCATTTCGGTGCTTTATTTCAACAACGCTTCAAGAGAAATGCACACTTTCCGGTCTGGCTGATTATATCTTTGATAACGCAACATGGCGTGACAAGTCGCGTGTGAAAAAGGTCTCCTTTCTTTCTTTCTCCTCCCGCCTTTTTTCTCCATTTGCTCCGAGTAAACTTGACAGACATTGTTGTACTTTCAGATTTAACCTCAATGGACTAATCACATTTGTTTCTATATTATAAACACATGACTATAAATGCCTGAAGAGGGAGTTACGAAAACAAGCTTGTTCACTATATTGTTTATCTTTTTATATTTGCATAGGAATCTTGCATGAATTGGGGGAACGCAAAGATCCTCTGGTGCTGAGGAAACTGAATAGTGATTTGAGCTTTATAATCAGGCCGAGGAAGTGAACACCAAGATCGCATTTCCTCTGTGCTAGCACCTTGCCTAGCCCATTCTCTCACACTGAACTCATCTTTGTTGTCCAATTCAACAACAATAACAGTAATATTTCAGTTCAGTTTCAGTTTTTACAACCAATAACCATGCACTTTCGTGCGTCGGTTTTGGTTGCTGTCTTTGGTTGCCCATTTGGCTAAAAGAGCGAAATGAAGATCGGAATGTCGAAGCAAATTCAAGCGGAAGATGGGTAATTCATATAGAGTGGTGTTAGGAAAATAACGAGTGGATGCAC